CTCTCTCTCTCTCTCTCTCTCTCTCTCTCTCTCTCTCTCTCTCTCTCTCACACACACACACACACATACACACACACACACACACACACACACACTTTCCCTCATATTCTTTCTTGAATCTTCCTCCTGCACACTCATAAATTTGCAAAAATAGCATTTGACAAGGTGCTGTTTCTTAAAAGTCATAAATGCCTTCTTTGAATCATTTTAGTCAGTTTCCTCAATGGATTTTAATTTATTAACATAATATTTATTTTTTAAGCATCTATGCTGATATCCTTTCTTATTCCTACACATATCTTAACAAAGATTGTGGGAGATTATCTGTTTCATTGGCTCTTTCATTTGCATTTGTGTATATGTGTGTTTGTGTGTGCCCTGTGCATATAGACAGCAGAGGTCACTTTCTTTTTTTTTATTGGATATTTTATTTACATTTCAGATGTTATCCCCTTTCCTCATTTTCCCCCACCCAGAAACCCTTTAGCCCATCCCCCTCCTCCTGCTTCTATGAGGATGTGGCCCCACCCACCCACTCACTCCTCCCCACCCGCGAATTCCCCCACTTTGGGGCATCCAGTCTTCACAGGACCAAGGAGGTCACTTTCCACCTGACTTTTTTGAGTCAGGGTCTCTCTCACTAAAACTTGAGTTCATCAATTGGCTAGACAGGCTGGCCAGAGAAGCCTGAGGATTCTTCTATTTCCCTCTAGTTAGTGCTAGGGTTACAAATATATGTTGACTTATTCAGTTTTTATATGGGTTCTGGGGATAAAAACTCAGGTTCTTATGTTTGTGAGACAGGTGCTTGCATCACTGAGCCAGCCCCATAGTCCCCATTGGCCCTTTTAAAAGAAAACAAAGCTAGAGCTTTGATTTACTCTTTCACTTTAATTTTTTTTTTACTTCATTAAATTCAGTTTTTTTTACCTTGATTATTTCTCTCTCTGGTTTAACTTTAGATTATTTTCTAATTTTCTGAGATGAAGACTAGCCTCCTGAACCATCTTCCTTATTGAATAACTGAGGTCCTCAAAAATAATGGTTTATCTCAAGGATCAGACCACAGCCCAAAGGTTTGCTATTAGACATCTCATTAGCTTGGTATTAGAGGTAGCTCGTGGTTTCAGTTTTCATTTCCTTCACAATGTAATGCTTGTATAGATTGTCCTAACTTCTCAATATTGAAGAGTTTTTAAAAAATCTTTCCTTTATCATTGTGCGTGTGTGTGATGTGCACATGCCATATTGTTCCTGTTGAAGTCAGAGGACAACTTTCAAGGAGTCATTCTATCTTCCACTATAGATTTCAGAGATCAAACTCAGCTAGTCAGGCTTATTTAGCTTTTACCTCCTGAACCATCTCACCCACCAAGATCACCTTTAAATGGGATTTAGAGTAGGCCTTATGTTTTCTAGGGCTGCTATAACAAAGTATACCTCAGTACTAGAAGTCTAAGATCAAGTTCTCATCAAAGTGAGTCCCTT